ATCTATGTCAGCAGTGTGAGGCTGTATCCTCCTCACATAAGATCGGAGGTGCATCTTGGGACACGAAACCCCATCGTACTTAGAAAACACTGGTGCCTTGAACTTTGGTGGAATAAAAATCCCAGACACCAAACCCAGCTCTTCGAAGTCTAGCCCGGGCACTTTCTGAATCTCTATAGCCCTTAAGCGATCTTCCAACTGTTTATATTTGTCGTCAGTTAGAGGATACTTCTCTTCAGAGTAATCAACCTCTTCTTCCTATTCAGATTCTGGATGGTCAATCACTTCCTTGCCTTTCCCTTCTTGATTATCCTTTTCACTAGATGATGTTGTAATGTCTAGGGTCCGTCTGACTGGCCCTGGGAACCTTCTTCCTAGATTCAGAACACCGGTTGCTTTCTTCGCTTTCTTCTTCTTTTCTTTGATTAGCAGGGTTTTCAACTCATCTTGTCCTTTTGCCAGAGTCAAGAACATTTGTTGAAATTGGGCGTTCTATGCTTGGAGATCTTTTACTGTCTGCTCAAGATCCATCTTACTGAAATAAACAGTAGAAAGATAAGGATACCTGTTGTAAGAAACATGTTTGTGTTATGATGAATGAAGATGCGTATGCAATGATTTCAAGGAAATTAGATATTAAAGTTTGATTTAGACAAAAAGGAACACCCGTTATATTAATAAATCAAAGTTTGAGTACATTATGCCTCTTTGGGCTTTACAATGAAAGAAATAAAAATACAAAATTCTAAGACAAAAAAGTTGAGTGCATCCTCTTTGGTGCGATGTAGGCATTCATACTCTGCTCCTCATGAAGCTGTTTGGTGAGTTCCAGAACCTTCTTCTCGCTGGCATAGAATTGGGCCTCGAAAGTGTCTCGTTCCCCCCCCCCCCCCCTTAAGCTGTATCCAATCCTTTTGCAAGTCTTCGAGAGAGGTGGGCATGTTAGGATGAAGGATAGTGTATCGGACATCTCCTTTCATAACAGGCTCTAAAATAACTGGGAGAATAGAGGGATAAGGCATCATAAGACTTTGAGCACGAGCTCATACCCATTTGAGATAAGGCTCAACAGGGATTAAATTCTTGTGCCCCAGTGTCTTGCTATCAACTCTATGTACCATTCCCCAAGCTCTCATGAACCTTTTACGGTAATCCTGAGCATTATTCTCATAGTCAAAGACGATTCCTTGAATAAGTGAATCATGAGGACCATCTCTTCTTGCATATCGTAACTGTCGTAGTGCCAAATAAGGATTATAAGTGATTCCTCCCCTAATGCCTAAGATAGGGACATTATGGAATTCTCCGCATCGATCAATGATGGTAACATTCTTTGAGGATCAAGGACACCAACGAATGCCTGAATGTGTAAGAGTCATCAACCTATGAGACCATCTCAAAACCAGTTCATTCTTCAAGATGGATCGGGGTAGGTGCAAAATAAACCACCTAGCCAAAAGAGGTGTGCAGCACAGAAGGGTTCCTCTCCTCTTTATAGTGCGAGTATGCAAAGAATGTAAGATGTCTCCAAGCAGGGTAGGTACTGGATTGTGTGACAGGAAAATCTTAACCACATTCACGTCTATGAGTTGGTCCGGATTAGGAAACAGTACCAAACCATAGATGAGAAGGGATAACACCTCTTCAAAATCTTGTAAGTCCAAGGTATCCCAGAAATGATGAGCTTTCTCGAACAAGAACTTAGCCAAAAAAACCTTTAACACCTCTCCTAGTTTCCCAATTTGCTACTACGTCAGACCGTTGTAAGGATAGAACTTTGGCAATATCTTCAGGTTTAGGGTCTCTTTCCATACTATTTAAAGGTACCTCATTAAGGATAGGCACCCCCAAAAGTAGAGAAAACTCCTCCATAGTAGGCACTAGCTGGTAATCTGGGAAAGTGAAGCAGTGATGTAGAGGGTCAAAGAATTGAAAGAGAACTTTTAACATTTCTCCATCAGGGTTTGAAGTGACCAAGCTGAGAAGCCTACCATGTCTTTCTGTGAATGGAGAGCTTTCGGGAACCCTTGATGCCAAATCCTTAAGTTGAGGAGGTACTTTTACCAGACTGACTTGGATAGAGAATCTGTGGGAGAGAGCCATGTCCTACAAAACAAGACAAAAATAAACCCTAAGAATCCTTGAAATGGTTAGTATGACATGTTATGTTATAATGTCATGATTAAGATATAGAAGATATAGCAAGCACAAACAAGTCACACAAAGACCTTAGGTTTAAGGCTTGCATGGATTTTAAGGTGATACCCTCTTGAAGTTGGGTTGGTTTAACCTGTCCTAAATTTAGTAACCGGGTTCTAAGAGATCTCAATATCACCGGTCTTTCCCCAAAATATCTTTCTGATAGACAATCAACTTGCCACGAAACAAAACTCAAGGGTCAAACCTTAATGAGTGTAGCATCGAGTATCAACCGACTTTGGGTTTACACCAAAGACGGCTATCTCACTACGTCCTAAAAGCCAAGTTGGTCATTTAAGGTGCTAAGGTCGGTTGACGCTTTATGATACCATGTAACGACCCTGTATTCTCCTTGATTATTCAAGGGCTACCGGTACACACCAAAGTATCGCATCAACGTAGTTATGTCATATATGAAAGATCCATCAAGAACTCCAAGAAGTGAAGAACCAGAAGATGCTCCTCCAGAAGCTTCTAATGTCTTTAGTTGAAAAAAACTTCCCATGACAAAGAAAGGAATATGGAAATACAAGAAGAATACAATAGAAAGGATAAATCTGAATCAGGCTCAAGACAAAGGCAATCTCTCCATAGAACAAGGCTTACCAAGTTATAATTTACTTGATTTCTTTCAAAGTATTTATTTAACTCTGTTTAGCCATAAGTTAATTCTTTTTAAAAGTGAAGATAAAATTCCCAATTTTTCATCTAGCATAGGAATAATCTAAGTAAAATCTATCAAAGTTTAAAATCTACTTTATGTCTTGAAAACTAAAAGGCTAATGTTTTAAATACACTGTCAGAATAGTAAAAGATGTTTGTTTCACTCTTAATAATAGTTTTCTTTTTAAAACCTCACATATCGTTTGAAGTGACATATGATCAGTAAGATAATCTCGAGAATAAAAGAAATATCCTCACACCTTACCCTTTGTCAGATTCTACCACTCTTCGTAAATAAATAATAACTACATAATCTATTTAAAATCCACTTACTCCTCTCCCTACACCTTCACTAACCTCAGCCCCAAATCCTCAAAAACCCTAAAACTCTGTGCGCGTGTTCAAATTTGTTCATCTTCATCAATGTTTTCTCAAAAATCAATTACTGACTCATCATCTCTTCCAAATCAAATTGATACAAACTTTTCTGAAACTTAAATGACATTTATTATAAAATCATTCTTAATATTAAAAACTGATAATGAAACATTTGACATGAAAACTTTGAAACTTAAAGAAGTTTGAAAAATTTCTCTATGATGGATTGTAAGAGCAGAAAATTATTTATGTTTAACATTTGTGTTCTTAAACAATCATATAACTACATATTTATTTATTTATCTAATTTTTGGTTATATATGAAAAAGAAATGCAAGCAATATTTAACATTTCATCTTCTCCAAGATTCAATGATTCGAAGATCCAACATTTAATTTTCACTGATAATAATAACGATGAATATATCAGATTCAAAATTTGTTATATAATTTTACTTTATTATTTTGTGCAAATAATGGAGCTTGTAAACAAATTAATTTATTAATATTCTATATGAATAATATAATTTGTATTAAAAAAAAAATTCCCCTCCATTTTGATCATAAATCAAGAAATATGTGACACTAATTTTAAAAATATAAAAAAAATATTGTTGGAGATAGAATCAATGAACATTTTAACTATCCCATCCATATTCTAACACCAAAAAGTAAAGTGACAATTTATCATTTCCTTACCTCCATTTATAATTGAGGTTAAATCAATTTCCAATCGGAAATTAAATGTGTTTTTTTAACCGTACATCAAAGCTATTGTTTATAAAGGCATGTAATGGGTACTAAAGAGAATCCAATGAATATTGAATTTGGATCTTCTCCTGTTTTTTTTATTCATACATCCCTCCTTTTTTTTATCTAATGGTTCAATCATCCACACAAAAAAGCAATAGTCCATAAGATACAAATAAACAAAGCAAATGAATGTCAGAAATAGAGTTTGACGGAAGCATGAGAGAAAATGAGGGAAAGGATCTATATCCATGAATATTTCAAGTGCAGTTCCTGAGATTTTTAATTTACAAGTATAGATTCGTACCATTTTTGTTGAGTTGCTTCCTGAATCCTAATATGACACTTGCTTTATAGCTTATGATGGGCCATAACTTTTCAAATACAAGACTGAAAAGGCCGAAATGCTTAAATGACCATTATTTATGAATTATGATGGTCCAAACATTTATGATAGTCCAAACATTTATGGTCTGTTTTCATCTTTTATGCCCTACCAAAACTTGCAAATCATACTCTATCTGATTGCACAAGTTTTTGAGGATGTCTCAGGACAACAGATTTTATTTTCCTCTAGCCTTTTAACGTTATCCAAATCTTATCCTACACAAAACCAAAAACTTGGATTTTAGATTATAATATCAGTAGAGAATCCTAAATATTTCAAGAAACACTCTACAAAACTCATAGTGCAACCACTACTTAACTAGTAGCTTTTTCATTGTTCTGAACTCTTCAGATGAGGTCAGAAAAAATCCAGCACACACAATAAAGAGAAGAGAGATAAAGTGAAAGAGGATCTTCCTCTTTTACCCAACATATTAAAATAGTTGCAACTGCAACAATATTACAAATGTAGTACAAATTTCATCAAATATTTCCAGTTTTACTGTTTGGTACAAAAACAAAAACAATTCTCTAAACTACTACGCCAAAACACAAACAATTTCCATGAGGACAACGTTGTACTTCTATATATGTTTGTGTTTTCATCTGTCATCGACAAACTCCTCACATGGTGTTTCTGTAGCGGATAAATGAATCAAGCCTCTGCAACCTTAGCTGCTTCTTAAACCTGTTGATAAAATCATCAGCTTTTGCATCTACCGCTTCATCTTCTTTGGACGTCGTCGATTCACTTCTTGCCGCCGCCGTCGCTGGCATCCTTCGCTCCACCGTTTCTTCATCTTCTTCCTTCCATTCAGACGTCATTGAACACTCTTTCTTGCTCGCAGATTTCTTCATCTCCACCTTACTCTTATCCTCATCACAAATCTGGTTCGGAGATAGGTTTTCGGATTCGGGTTGGACTTGCTGCGTTTTGAAGGACATGACTCGCTGTAAGAGAGACGGTTTTCGAACGAGTTGAGGCTGAGTGGACTCGGAGTCTGACTCGGGTTGAGTGTAATGTGTTTGTGGGTGTTGTGGTTCATGTTTGTTGAAATGGAAGGAAACGACTCGCTGTAATAGAGACGGCTGTCGAACGAGTTGAGGCTGAGTGGACTCGGACTCGGGTTCTGACTCGTTATGGTGGTTGTTAGTGTAGTAACTGAGATTGAAGGACCTGACACGTTGAAGAAGGGAAGGTGAACGGTTAAGTTGAGGTTGAGGTTGTTGTTGATGTTGTTGGTTGGTTTGGTTTTTGGGTGGAGCATTGAAACGAGAAGTGAGAGCTATGGTACCTATGACGAGGTTTACAAAGATGAAAATGGAAGAAGGTGTGAACCATGTTGCTATGAAACTTGTTGGGTCTGCCATAATCTTGTTGGAGGGTTTGTTGTTTGTTGGTGAGAGAGATGAAAGCTTGAATGGAGTGGTGGGCGTGTAAATAGAGAAATATATGGTCGCGTCAAAAAGTTGATAAACATCGTGGGGCACTTGTTGATGTGTGTCTGTTGACGTTTACTCCCTTTCGTCATTGTCGTTTTCTTCTCTAATTTTAAACGACATTAATAATTAACTCTTGAATAGTAGTATATTATAAAATTAACAGTCAACTTTATATATTATTTTGGATTGGAGTAACATGGATTAGATTTATATATGGTCTTCCGTTGGACAGGACTAGTTTAGCGTTGTTGCGAGGAAGGCTTAATAAGGTGGTCTAGATAGATATGATCGATGGAGAATGACTCTTCTCCATTCTTGTCGAGGACGTCTTTCTCATATGTTTGTCGATAAAGACACGTGGTCAACGACTCTCTGAATATCACAGAGTCATCATGCCTTCGTAAAGAATAAGTCTTTTATTTCTGAAGATTACGTGGCAGTTCACCAAGATAGAGATCACGTATTTGGTCTCCTCTACCCACGTAGGATTCTGGCAGTCTCTATTTTGAGTTGGGAATCCAACCCAAAATGGGGACATTGGCCCAACGCTGGGGGTTATAAATATCATCTTTCACTAGAGGGTCAAGGTTTACCCGTGGATTTGGTAAATAATGTTGATCTCTTGAAAACAAGTTTACGTGCGAGATCGATCAGGGAATCTCGAAGCAGTGCTTCAGTTCGTGTGCGTAGTCAAAGTGTTTTCAAAAAGGGTCAGTTCTTCTGGGAGCCAAACGTATTTAAATTGTAAAAGATAAGGACAAAAAGACGAAGTAAATGAAACGAAAAAATATTTTAAGTTGTAAAAGATAATGACATGATATTAAAGAAAGTTGTAAAATAGATTGGTTCAAACATACGTTGCATTTTCCTGACTCATTTCGCTCGTTTGATTGGTTACTTTGAGTGACTAGCGTGCAGGAATGTGAAAAGTTTGACCTCTTATATCAGTGCATTAAGTGCTTTATTTATAATACACAGAAATAACTATTTTCTAAGTGGGCTTCGTTTCCTTGCATGTCACGTGTTTTTCGTAACTTCTCCTCACGAACTCGCATTCTCTATTGTAACTTCTCTTTGTGAACTCACGTTCTCCACTGTGGTCGAACCCACATTCTCCCTCCATAACGTTTTGCCTTTACAGTTTAGGCGTTTATGGATCTTTTAACTCTTTTGGGCTTCTCAACTCCTTGGACCCAATTCATTCACCATGAATTTTTCTCTGGTCGAATGCGCTTACGAAACCTTAGCCGTCTGCCTTTGAAATCAACCATGGTCGATATGCTTTGGTAGTCGACTCCTCATAATTTAATGTTCTTAAAAGACCCTTTTTTTACTTTTGATTTGAATTTTTCTCTTTATGAAAATCTAAGTCAACAGTCACGTATTCAATTCTACTCACTTACACTTTGTGTTTGTTCTCTTTACTCTGAACCTTACTTTGACATAGATCATTCTGATTCTGATAAGATCATATTTTTTTTGGAAATCTTGATGCGCGGTCTTGCGACCGATTAATCTAAGAGGGACTAATTTCACCGTTTATTAATAGAGGTTTCGTTTAAAGTCAGAACAAACTCAAGACTTTGAGAGGAACACATTTTCAAGACTCAAACCTCCATCGTTAGACCAATCCTTAAATATACAACTTTATATTAAAAATTAAATGAAATGCTTAATTTTCTAAAACAATAAAAATAAAAATAATATAATAAAGACTATAAAAAATGGTCGATAAACAAATAATAAATTAAACCGCTACAAATATAATTTCATTGTCTTAAGAGATATTTGATTGCTATAAATTGTGCGCTACAAATATAAACAAACAATTCTTTTTAAAATTATAATTAAGTACTTAAACTATAGTGAAATCTATTAAGGACGAAAAAAAAATATTTATTGTCTTAAAAGACACTTCATTGTTACGTACATACTCTACAAAAAATTTATTATTTTCTATATTAAAAATATCAAACATAAATAATATGAAAACATGATAATTTTTAGAACATATTTGTTTCATGTTTGGCCGACCAATAAAACGAGTTTAAGAATTATATATTTCACAATAAAACTTTTAATTTTGAATCTCATAAGTGGAGAAATCTAATTACGTCTATCCATGCATATTTTCTTTCTACTGATCTTTATACTAAAATATTACTTAACTAAATATCTTCCTTATAAATTCACATGTCGCATGTTCCACACGTTGTTTTTGCTCAATGTAACCAGAAAAACGACTTCAACAAATGCATTTATGTAGTCATGAGATAAATTTGAGTGTTCTCATTTCTCATTTGTTGGATTCAATCTCTTTAGGTTAAATGAGTTAATGTGTAGTGGAAGAACTTTTATAGCAAAGGTGTATTAATGTTGCCTTACTGCTGTAAAGAAAATGTTGATTGCCCAGTTTAGATTTAGATTGTAGCGTGAAAAAAGAGGATACTAGGGGCTGTTTTGTCTTTTTCTTCAAAATGTATTTTTCTAAATCCATTTTCTGTATAATGGAGCGAAGCAAAGATTCTTTGCGCGGGTCCCATTTAAATATTGTCTTTCTCTCGTCTTTTTAAGTCAATCCAAACAAAGAAAAATGCCACTTTCTCTCCCTCACTTTCTTTTCTCTTTCTTTTTCCTAAATCGGGCATAGCATTAGTAATACAAAATTTATATAAAGTTCAAAATTTATGCCTCAAAGAAAAGAGGTTAAAGAATCTTAGAGAAAAATTAATTATGGAATAATTTAATATTTTGATTTATAGAAAAGTTGAATGCGCAAATTTTGAGATGAATGTTCTATATATAATGATAAAAATTTAGAGAAGGTAAAAAAATCCAGAGTTATAAAATAAATAAAGTTTTAATATAGTTCAATTGACATTAACTTATAATTTAACTAACATATTAAAGAGTTTAATTGTTACATATGATTTTACACTTTCAATATATCATAACTATTTAATTTTATTAATTTAAAAAAAAATTAAATTAAATATTTTAGATAATTCAATATAATTAATTGATGATGTAAAATTTCTTTACACCATCAATACATTTCAATTAAATTTTACATTAAATATTACAAAAAAAAAATTAAATTAATAAATTCTCATATGAAATCAAGAAATTGACTCGGGAGAGTATTTAACTAATGCTTCCTCTGTTATTAAAAATATAATTTTTATTAAAATGAATGTCACTTTTAGTTTTTATTGGTATCTCCATGCCTTATAATTGATGATATATATTTATTATTTTTTTAATTTATATTTAGAATAATTAAAATACAACAGTAGTTAATAAGTATTGGGGTTGATTGAAAATATACATATTGAAAAAGTCTTGTATTGTTTAGTTTTGTGAAGAAAGAGTGAGTTCAAAATTATATATAAGATTCAAGTTCTTGAAGTCTCACATCGCTTAGTTTTGTGAAGAAAGATGGAGTCAAAGTCTATATAAAGGATTCAAATTCTTCATTACAATATGCACCATTCAAAAACATTGAAGCTTGTATTTGTATTTCTTTGTTCTCTTATACTCTTGTATTAGAGTGTTGTGAGGTGTAGTTAAATATTTGTTTTGGAGGGTCTGGGTGTAACACCCCAGTTTCAATTATTTGATTTATTTAAATTTGGGAAATTATTTTATTAGAATTAATAAAATAAAAAGGAATTATTTATTTTGGAATATTTGAAGAAAATAAAAGAAATAAGAAATATTGGGATTTTTTAAGTTATTGGGCTTAGATGTTGTTAGTAAAGAGTGGGGGTGCAGAGAAATAAAGTTATGTTTGGAACTTAAGCTATTTTCTCATTATTCACGATAACACAGAAGTTGGAATTTGGGAAAATAGAGCTCTGAAGGAACGAAGAACGAAGAACATCGCTCAAGAACTCAAAGCTGCTAATTGATAAGGTAAGGGGGGCTATTACTCGATTTACCTTTGTTTATGGGTTTATGTACGGTTGATTCGGGTAATTGTAGGGAAAACCCCAATTGTTAGATGTTTCTAGGAATCGATACCCTTAGGATTGAACCTTGTTAGAAAAGGGTCAGGTTCCCAATTGTCATGAATCGACTAAGAATTTTAGGTCCCAAATGGTGAATTGGGAGTATATCTAATGATCGTGAATTTACCTTGGAAGTTATAGGGATAACCTCAGTGTCAGTAGAATTCCCCAAAAGGACGGTTAATCCCCGGTTAAGGTTACTATAATGATTGTTGGTAATTTGGATATTGTGGTGTTGTTGTGGATTGTACAAACTCGATGCGTTAGGTACTGAAATGCGCGTTTTGGCTGGCATTTTCCCGCGTTTGGACTGCTGTTTCTGAGCTGCTGCAGGTTCAGGAAAATCCTGTACGCGCTCAGCAACACGGGCCGTGTTGCACAACACGGGTGCCCGTGTTGCTCTTCTGTGTTGGTGGGATGGTGTGCTTCTGGTTGCACAACACGGGCCGTGTTGCACAACACGGGCACCCGTGTCAGATCCCCTGTAATGATAAAAATAAAATATGCGTTTTTCTGGATGTGCTGCACAACACGGGCCGTGTTGCACAACACGGGCACCCGTGTTGCTCTGCTGTGTTGGTTTTTCTGAATTTTGGTTCAGTGCTTGATTTTGGATTTTGTTGCCATGCTTTTGGATAATGTTATCAAGCATGAAGTATGATATAATTTGATATGATTGGTTGATGTTTAAATAGTATGCTGAGTGATTACATGCTATCCGTAACTTGATATGATTGATGTTTAAATAGTATGCTGAGTGGTTACATGCTATTCATATCATGTTATGTTTGATATTGTTGATGTGCATGATATGTTGACTGATGTTCATAGTATGCTGAGTGTTACATACTTACATATCATGTTGCATTTGTTAATTCCCATTGTGTGGAATTAACATGGTGGCCAATATACGTGTCC